AAAAAATATAGGAGTAATCTTTCGTTGCCTTTCACTGTGTGAGTGAGTCACAAATCAAAAAACTCGAGCGGGATGGACTTCAAGGGCAGCAAAGCACTTGTGACTTTTGAGTTGCAGGTGTCTATGGGCGGCGATAGTTGCTTACCATCAGGTGACCCGCCTGCTCGTTTGCCTCCTTACACCATGAAAAAAGTGAACTTTTTATTTTAAGCCTTTTAAAAATGCCATCAAATAGACGTTCAAACTTAAGTCGCAGAACTCGCAATACTGCAAGTCAAAGATTTATAAGAGCAAGTCCAAAATTATTTTAGTGCTGGGGTGTCCAGCACTAAAATAATTTTGGACTTGCTCTTATAAATCTTTGACTTGCAGTATTGCGAGTTTTCATCGATAAAAGACTGGGAAAATTTATTCCTTTATTCCAAAATACAGGTTATGATGTTTAGTTGAAAAAAAAAACAGCGTGGGTAAACCAAACTAACCAAATCAAATCCCTTACCCTTTTTTTCCCCTCGGATACCACCTACCGGTGGCTATGTCGGATGCTATGTACGGAGAAGGCGTCGCCGCACAGAATACGCGGCTGGGCGGTAGGCGGAGCTGTTAGCGGAATACATGGTTGCCAAGGGGCAGCAAGCAATTCATGCAGCAATAAAGCTTGCTAAAAGTGAGGCCCGCCGCGAATTACTGGAGACACTGGAGCGGGATCCGTGGGACGCCCCTACCGTATGGTTAGGGGCAAGATGCGCCTTTGGGCCCCGCCGATCACCCGGTGTCTACAGCCCTTACCCTAAATTTAAGTTTTCTATATACCAATTTACTTAACTCCTTTTTCTCCATCTAAAATGGAATATATTTCTAAGTTTTTTAACGTCCAACAAGCAGCCGTCCATTAAAGAAACCAGTGAAAAGCCTTCGTAATGTTATATATTGTGTTTACTCCATATAGTATTAGGAAAAGGCAAAAAATCCTTCAATCTGTGAAAGGTTTATATGTAAAACACAACTTTTTTAAAGACAACTCCTGTACATACTAAAAATATATAAAATGACGAAATAAAATAGACGGCCGGATGGCGTAGTGGTTTGTGTAACAGACTGCTATTCGCGGGTTCGATTCCCGCTCAAGTCAAACATTTGTGTGCATGAACTTTTAATGTTTGATTTGGTCTGGGTGTTTCTATGTATTTCTATGTATTTCTATAATATGTACGTATTTACAAAAAAAAAGTATATATGTATTTATATCAGTTGTCTAGTACCCATAGTACAAGCTCTGCTTAGTTTGGGACCAGATGGCGTTGTGTGAATGTGGTAGAATATTATTATTATATATCCTACGTCGCGGGTGACTTACAAACATATATAAAACGGACACAAAGAAAATCCAGACTTAGGACAACAATTAACGGATCACACAAAGTGTTGTCCCATATGGGGCGAGGTCACCGCTTAAACGACGACGCCATCCGTGCAGTCAACAGTACGTTCGTCACCACACGGACATGGAAGGCTGAAGGCTTACATTTCAGCCTCAATTATTTGCATCGCAATGAATATTAAAATATATAACTATACCGGCACGCGGATGTGGAAGCATCATGAATAATAATGTCGTAAAATAAAACAATAAAGTTAATTTTCTCTCACGCAATTAAAAATTTTACGAAATCTATACTAATATTATAAAGCTGAAGAGTTTGTTTGAACGCGCTAATCTCAGGAACAACTGGTCCGATTTAAAAAAATCTTTCAGTGTTAGATAGCCCATTTATCGAGGAAGGCTATAGGCTATATATCATCACGCGAAGACCAATAGGAGCGGAGCACCAATGAAGAATGTTTCAAAAACGGAGAAAATTTATTACTATTGAGAAACGCAGACGAAGTTGCGCGGGTCAGCTAGTTTGAAAATAAATAAACAGATGATAAATAATAATAATAATATTTCGGACATCTGATGCACAATGCCATCTAGTTTCAAACTAAGCAGAGCTTGTACTAGGAAAGATAGATTGACTGAGAATACTTAAATACTTCTTTTTTGTAAAACATACATATTATACATAGAAAACAACCAAACTCCGAAACAATTTTTTGCTGATCATACAAACATTTGGTCTGATACGGGAATTGAACCCGAGACCTCAGCACAGCAGTCGCATACGCGAGGCAGTCATGTCACTTATCCATCGATACGTGAAGAAAATTGACACAAAATAAATATGGCGCACGTAAGCATTTTATGATTGGAATACCTTTTTTTTTTTTCTGTACCGAAATCCCCTCGAACACCACTTACCGGTGGCAATGTCGGACTCGAAACGATTAAAACCGGTACCAGTAGTCGGGGAACCAGGTGTACCCTAGAAAGGGAATCCCTGGTGCCCCGACGTACCTCAGGGGAGGCCATCTACGGCGGGTAGACGACCCCCCCTTTGTGGGAACCCCCATGTTTCCTCTGTGCACAGAACGCGCTCGCCGCCGCCCCGGGCTATGATTGGAATACCTAAAGTTAATATTTAGAAAAAGTGCGACTTAGAGGAATTGAAATACACAATATACTGTAATTTTTTTGGAAAGATAGAACTATGGAAGCCCATCTTGATCAGTCATGACAGCAATGTAAAAAAGACGTAGTCGTAATTCAACTGACGTGTGATGTCACCACTCCTATTCATCCCGGTGGTGTCGTAAGAGCCGACTAAGGGAGCAAAATACGCAGGACAACAGCACTGCAAAGAGAAGGAAAATAGAGGTATAGTAGGCCAAAACCTCCTTTCTAAGGAGAGGCCTATGTCCAGCAGTGGACTGACAGCAGTTGATGATGATGATGATGAATTCAACTGCCAAGTAATCTAAAGTCAAATTAATTTTGTAAATCGTCTATTACATATAAAAAAAGTATACGTGGAAAGAGGTCAAGTACGAAACTCAGAACCGAACGCAATGAAGGACTACTGGGGCAGAGGGAATCTCGGGGACTTAGGCTATTAAGTCAAGTAAGCCATCAGTCAATCTAGTTTTCATGGTACAAGCTTTGCGTAGTTTGAAACTAGATAGCGTTGTGTGTTAAATGTCAGAAATATTACAAAAATAAGAGGTAAGAACAAATTGAAGTACGTATATCCGTAATAATATTAAAATCAGTCCAGTGCAGAGAAAAGGTTTAGAAAATTCATGGTTGAGTCTCGTTACATGTTGATGTCTCTATAGTAATGGTAGGGTCTAATCACAGAGTGCACATTCATACAAGACTCTGGCTTTCCTTATTCGAGACTCGCGGTATGACAGATATCAAAAATTTAAAAGAAATTTTGAAATATTCATTATTTTCGATGTGAATGATTAATAAAGAAGACACGACAATTAAAATATTAGAGAGTAAGTTAAATATGATTACTTACTTTGTATATTATATTTTAAAGTTATTTAACAGTTTTACGAATTTGTGTCAAGTTGCTTTAAAACAAAACAGTAATAATAATAATATTCTACCACATTAACACAACGCCATCTAGTCCCAAACTAAGCAGAGCTTGTACTATGGGTACTAGACAACTGATATAAATACATAAATACATTTTTTTGTAAATGCATACATATTATACATAGAAACAGCCAGACCAAATCAAACATTAAATGTTCATGCACACAAATGTTTGACTTCAGCGGGAATCAAACCCGCGACCTTTGGAACAGCAGTCCGTTACACACACCACTACGCTACCCGGTAAACAGTATAACTCCAGTTTTGTCAATTATTGTCATTTAACAATCAATATATTTTGTTCTATGTGATGTAACCACCATATTCATTCCGTGGGTGTTGTAAGACTAATGAAGAAAGCTACGCAGGACAACGGCATTGCAAAGAGAAGGAAAACTTGACACAAACCCTATACCAACCCGTCTGGCCAGCGTGGTATAGTAGTCCAAAACCTCATTTTAAGAAGAGGCCTATGTCCAGCAGTAGACTACAGAAGATGATTAAAATGTTTATGATTTCCATTGAACGTGGCAATTCTGCTGTCTTTAGGGAACGCTACTAGTAGGCAACGGAAGGAATTCGGCTTAGTTTTGTGTAGCATTTCTAATTTAATGCGCAACCGTTTAGTTTATCCTATTATCATGACTTTTATAAACGTTACTAGAAACATACTATGAAAAATTATTACAGTTACTGTTTTTTATGCAAGCGTTTATGAGTTTGGAGCAGAGACTTTTGTAAATTTAATTGGTTGTAAAATGGATTAGGGTTCAATGAATGCACGGTTTTAAATTTTCAGTTCTTTATTTGTACGAATCGTGAATAGCATCTGTACATATAAATATATAATATACTATTTATATATAATATAGGTACTAATGTATAAATCACACATAATATAGTATATTTGTACTTAAAGGTAAACATGATAAATATTAATATTATGACGATATATATATATATATGATGCACTATAAATATAAAAATAATAAAATATAGTAAATACTATACAATATATACATACATATAATATATAAAAATATAAGATAAATATAAATTTCAGTTTATATAGACGTTATATCGTAAAATATACATATATATAAATATATATACACATATAATATGTATAACGATGACGAATTATTGTAATAAATAAAAATAAACATATTTTATAAATAAAATGAGGACTTACAGGAAAAAGGACTAGATGAGTAAAGGGTTAATATTAAAAATAAAATAAAAATATTAATCTTTTTAAGATAAAATACACAAATACGGATACCGTATAGGATGGGTCACCACTGAACCTTTCAGTAGTAGAGCAAGAAAGATCATACAAGTAAGAACAACATTTTTTTGGGAAAACACAACAAAACATGTCATCTCTATAAATATTCCTCACAAAGGGAAACTTCCCTTTAATAAATATACCTTACGTCCTACAATAAATAATTTCAGTACATGCCTTAATAACACTTAATTTGGACTTAGTCTTCTTGTACCCTATTTTCTAATCGGTTTTAACGTGAGCAGAATAAGCCAAATCTTGACCAGCATCCAAGGATCTGCCCCATCCGTGACCGCTGCTGGCGAAATGTTCTTCATGGTGAGGATGAGCTACAACTTCGTAGCTGGTTTCGTGGTGTTTGCTTGCCAGGAGTTTCTTCAGAGCAATGATACCGGCTACCAGAAGTGCGACCTTGGCGAGGAGTACTGCCTTGGCGGCAGCAAATGCGATGATGCCGAGGAAGAGAGGGATTAGGGCGGTAATCTTCAGTTTGGCCAGGGCGAGCAGAGGGATGAGTTGCTTGATCTTCTTCTTTTTGCCACGAGCTGTAATGAGAAAGAGATTATGGTTAACAAAGATGTATTTTTAATAGAAAATATTTTTGTTTTGCTTTATTTTATTATTTTATATTATGTGTGCATGTACTCTAAACCTAATGATTTAAAACAAACATTTTTGTTTATGATAGAGGGAGCAAACAAACAGACGGGTTTTATGGCAAGTAATATAATAATATATATAGTCTGATCCCAAACTAGGCAGAACCTGTGCTATGGTAACCAGACTGCTGATAAACATACTTATATATTTTTTAAAACATACATATTATAGATAAATTACACCCAGACACAGAACAAATGACTGTGCTCATCACACAATATTTGTCCTGGGATGGAATCAAACCCTCGACCTCACTCTTAGCAGTCAGGGTCAATAACCACTAGACCAACAGGCCCGTCAACGACTACCGCCTGACTGCCTCCGCTCAAGAACGCCTGCTACTCAGGAGTCACAAACGCTGCTAGTTAGAAACCCATATTTATAATAAAAGCGTTGAAAACTAAAAAATATTATTTACTAGCTTTTGGCCGCGGCTCCGCCCGCCTGTTTATCGGTTATCAAGGTAAATAGCCTATGTCCTTCCCCGAGAATCAAACTATCTCCGTACCAAATTTCATCTAAATCCGTTGAGCGGTTATTGATTCCCCATAAAAACTTCCACCCCCCTTTTAAGCCGTCTGAAGGATGATTTCTGGGATACAAAACTATCTTATGTCTTTTACCGGCACTCAAACTACCTGTATACCAAAATTTTAGCGGTTTAAGCGTGAAGAGGTAACAGACAGACAGACATACTTTTGTATTTATAATATTAAGTATGGATTTATAAGGTAAAAATATAATCCAAGTAGATTGAGAACTATTCGATGATTCAATCCAAGTATGAAGATCAATTAAATCAACCCTCCCCCAAATCTACCTGTCTGAAAGGTCTTAAATACAGTTTTGATTGATATTTATAGCTTTTTATAGACAATTTAATTCATTATGCTTGCCTCGGTGGTGCTGTGTCTGCTGTGCTGAGGTCTCGGGTTCGATTCCAGGGTCGGACTAAATGTTTGTATAATCTACAAATATTTGTTTCGGAATTTGGGTGTTTTCTATGTATAATATGTATGTATTTACGAAAAAGAAAAGTAAAAAAGTATTTTATCAGTCAATCTAGCTTTCATAGTACAAGATCTGCTTAGTTTGAAACTACATAGATAGCGTTGTGTGTTAGATGTCCGAAATATTATTATTATACTCCGTGAACTACAAGTAAATTTACTATCTAAGTAATTTGACTGCACGGATGGCGTAGTAGTTTTAGCGGTTGCCACGCCGCTTACACGCCAAGTACTGTGGGTCCGATCCCCACATGGGACGACACTTAGTGTGATCCACAAATTGTTGTTCTCAGAACAACAATTTGTGGATCTGGGTGTTATTTGTGTCCGTTTCATGTGTGTTTGTAAAGTCCCCCGCGACACAGGATATATTCCTAATGCGGGAGTTGTCTTTTTAATAAACAAAAAAAATTAAAGGAAATAAAATATATAGTGTAATATAATATTTGTATTCAAAACCAAGATATTCAAACGGAATTCATTGCAAACATTTTAATTTATTTCTGTAACTGATCGAACGAACTGTAACTAATCTTAACTAATATTATAATATACGAAATTGAGTCTTTAGTTAGTCACGTGTAAGTGCCAAACCAATCAACACGAAAATAGAGTTTAAAAAACGGCCACACGATACTTTTTATTATGAAAAAGATACTATTTATGAGGAGCTAACGTGTTAACAAAAGTAAATTATGATTGTTACTTCTACGTCCGGTAGTCCTACTTCAAAAACCAACCGTACATAAATTATAACTAAAATATTGTATGCATAAATTTGCACTAAATATTTTTGTATGTAATAAATAATTTAAAAGCTAGTTTTATATAATTTATTAACACATATTCAGTGGTAAAAGTGATTCCATTAATTATTATAATAAAATTTTAATAGTCACACCTTTTTATATTTTAATTTCTAGACGAGTTTATTACACTTGGTTAATTATATTTCTGGTGGTTTCTTTTTTCTTATATAATTAATAACTTAAAACGTTGTCTCTACGTGAAATGAATATTGTTCATATATACGAAAAACGTGTGAAAATAACCCTACAAATGTTTTATATATATTTAAATGTGAAAAAAATATTTTTACGTTGTTTCAAGAAAATTTTGTTAACAATGGAAGGTGAGATTTAAAATACTTAAATTTTATACACCCATAAAAGATATTTTTTTCAAATAATACGAGTAGAGTATTTGCGCCGGTTTGCGACCAGTTAGCCTCAATTCAGATGACGAAAAGAAAATGTTAGCTATACGCAATGTAGTATGTGTTAGTAAAAATTGGTCCGAAGTATGGTCTAGTTTTGATATAAAACATAAAATAAAAATACCCTTATCCATGAATTATTATAAAATGCTAAAAAGTGAAAATATAGACATAGCGTCGGTTTACGACCACCACTGAGCTAGTTTGCGACCATAATTTAAATATATTTTTTTTAATATATCTTTTCAGATATTTTTACAAGTCGGACTTTACAGCTAGATGGAGCCGGCATTTCTTAAGACTCACTCTGAGAAGAAAAGCCGAAACAAATTAAACAAAGTAAAATGATAACTACGCCAATTACCTTTAGAGATGCCTAAGTAATCCCCTTTTAATCCACGACTAAAACAAAGATAATGACCGGCGGATTTTCATATCAGTTTTGAGTTAATATCAAAAATTCATAGTTTGATGGTAGATAGTCCCTTTTACATTGGGTAGGTACCTATGCGTCACAAATTTAAATATTACAGGTTAGCAGTTACTATATGACTACCATAGGCCTCTCCTTAGAAAGAAGGTTTAGGAGAGGCCTATGTCCAGCAGTGGACTATTAAAGGCTGTTGATGTGATATGACTACCATATAGGGAAGTGATCATCATCATCAACAGCCTATAACAGTCCACTGTTAGACATAGGCCTCTCCTTAGAAAGGAGCGTGGTATAGTAGGCCAAAACCTCCTATCTAAGATGGGAAGTACACCGTCAATTTATTGAAACTGCCATGTATTTTGATGGAAATTTCACCGCCAGGGTCTTTATAGCATAAATTACTATCCACAAAATTAATGATTATACATCCTAATACATACTACATGCTCTCATGGTAAAAAAAAAGATTTTTGACCTGAATATCGTCTAACAGCTTAACCTCTCAAGCGTAGCTTTGAAAACCCACTTATTTCGTGAAGTGTGTAAAATTGTGTAATATAATTATTTCCTTTTCTGATTGAAAACATTTAAAATTACATTATATGTTTGATATGCCACGGCTTTCACTTTTAAACTGGATTTGAGGAGCAACGTTTTAAGACGTTATATTGGCCGACTTCGAAGAATATTATATAAATATCAGCATGAGATTTGTCTGATTATTAAAAATAAAAACTTATAACGAAAATATAAAACGATAAAGTGAGCTAGGAGTTTATAACTCAAACTCAAAATATCTTTTTACATAAAAAAAGATGTTTGAAATCGTCTTTTATGTAGACTATATATATATATAAGAGATTTCCACGTATATATTCACTCATCACGATATCTCTGGAACCATTAGAGCTAAAGACTTGAAATTTGGTAGGAATATTCTTTTCACCGAGTAGAGGTCAGCTAAGAACGGATTTTAAGAAATTCAAAAAAAAAAATTCAAATAATGTAAATAGCAAAACAACGTTTGCAGGGTCATAGCAACAATCTCTGTTTTGTCAAATATTTAGCAAAATAAATATAATATAATGATACTGAAAATCTATTATATGCCTGTGCTGATTTACAAACGCCCGTTTCGAAGGGGTTGAGTGTTATGAGAAGAAAGGGCAAACAAACTCACGGCTTTTTGGAGATTACTTGAGCAAATAAACAGACCGACGACAGTCAGTTTTTAACCGACTTCATGTTACCATTGTATGGTAAACAGACTGATCAAAACACTGTCATTTTGACATTATGATCTGACACTTCAATTTAATTACTTTTTACAACAAATGGTAATGATTTGCACCCTGCTTTTTTAGACAAAAAAAGCCGATAAAAGTACTTGAATGGTATTTTAAATAATTAATAATTTTATTGTACACTGTCAACGCCTTTTTAGTTCTGTCTCTAAATCCATATTCATAACTAGTCAATCGCTTTAAGCCGATAGATCGCAAGCGCATAAGATATCACAAAATTTAACTTAAGAACAATATGATTTATCTTTTCATTAAGAATATTTAAACTCCAGATGAAAAATAAAATGCAACTGTCTAAATTTGTGATAAAGCATTAAAAAAAACTTTATCTAGTTTACGAGAAGTTTAAATTCTATTCAACTGTATTTCACTTAATAAATGATTCGCTTAATTAATTTGTCAAGAATTCGGTCATTCGATTTTATATCAATAGTCATGGAGATAGCAAAAGAATCAAATTATTAACGCATTTGCCTTGGCCGTGAAAACGTGTGACCAACTTGAGCGCAATATTTCAACGCCATCTATGAATTACTGTTTGAACTACTAGCAAAATCGAGTCAAGCGCAATGTTAATAATTCTACTCTTTGCTCTTCAAGTTTCTTAGCTTCGATGTAATCCCACCAAGTTTATAAACAAAAAACCTAATTTCTCAGACTACGGTTTCATATTTAATAAAGGTTATATGAGTTATCTATTTTTTAAAGATCTGTATCATAGTTGACAAATTAACCATACAGTTATACATATTCTTTATAAATACACTTCATGAAGAAACCTATATCTAACAGTGTACATTTATAGGTTGTTATGATGATGATGATGATGATGATTACTGTAAAATATTACTGTCTAAGTTAAACTCGACTCTCTGCAATACACAAACTTGTGATGGAACACCGGTTACCATGGGACAAACAA